AAACGATCTTAACAGGTTCATGTGTTTCATTTATCCTGGAGACGAGCGTTTCAGTGTGCTAGAGCTGAAACATCTCTACGCTAAACAACTTTTCGTCCATGCTACTAATGACTCTGATGTCATATTTGTGGCGGATTTTGAAGATACCGGAAGCATAGCGTTTGATTGGGTGAAAAGAATCAAATGAATAAATCAGGAGACAAGTAGTGGAATTTCCGCGGGAAACGGTGGAACCCTGGGTGAGTTTCAAAATTATTTTCTTATGTTTCTCGGTGGAGGTTCTGACAGAATGTCGGAACCGCTAGAGTGGATAAGGCGCTTGGTGGATTAGAACGTAAGTCTAACCTTGAACCGCATTTAGGCCTCAGAAGACGACGATTTTGTCGAAACGTTAGGCCGAACTAATAAATGTTCCACCTATAAACCTCGTACGGCGCAAGAACCTAACACAAATTAAATGAATAAATCTTGCTTGTGGAAAGTGGCGCCACTTGCCACTTATCTCAACCCCTCCCCCATAGCTCAAAAAATACCATTATTAAAACTGAAATCTTCAAAACTTACACGATGAAGATTCAGTACTTGTGTTGTCATCTTTAATCTTCTTAGTTCTGAGGAAACGTGTACGAACCGAACCCTCATCACTGTCTCTGGACGCCCCTGTAACATATCATAGGTGATTTCAACCTAATAGGTAATATTGAGTACGACCAGACTCACCGCGTTCTGGTTGCTCTGATTTGATGCGATCTTTTAAAGAGCGTCTTCTCTGAGGTGTCGTCCTGCTGTCATCACTCTTACCCGATCGAAGTGCTGCAAATGAAAAAGGGTTCGAAATATCACCTGGAACCATATAACTTTACAAGCATAATGTAAACGATCTATCTGAAACAGTATGGCAACTGCGCAGATGAGCCCTTTTAAAAACAGCCCGGATGAAGTAGTTCTCACTCACACATGAAAAAAAACCAAGTAAAAACCCACATCTCACTCCGTTTTGAATTGCTGAACGGTCGCTCCCTTTAGATTCTTCAGAAACCACTTTAGTCTGGAAATAAAGTCAGCTGTTTCGCTTATCAATCATTCATCAAAAAAGGGAAGCCTTTTGTACAAAATACTTTACGCAGTGAGACGATTTCATCCTTATAAACGAAGTAACCAATTGGGTCAACTGCTACATATAATCACAACAGCCTACCCTCTTTGATGCCGACTCGGTGAGATTCGTAGAAGCAGTTCGACGCCTACTTTTCTTCGCCTGAATTCTTGAAACGGTTTCAATGACAGATACGTGAGCAATTTTATACAACGCCCACCACTTCAATTCCTTTTGTCTCCGAGAGAGTTGCCCTTCTCGCGCCCTTCGATTGCTTAGCACTCTGGAAAAGAACCCTTTTCAAAAGATACGCTTTGGTCCATTGTGGTGACTAATTCACTGAAGTAAACGGAGGTTTAAAAAAGCGCCAGCAGCTTCGAGTGGTTTTATGAGTTTTTGATCCAGCTCTAAAGCAGCATAAACTTATTATCATATTTAGCCGAGCGGGCCAGGGAGACGCCGATATGGAAAAATACCTCACACTTGTCTGCTCTCCAATCATAACGGTACTGTCATCTTTGCCACCGCGTGCTCTAAAAACAACGTTTCATCCAACAAACTCGAATGTACGAAAATTGCCAGCGGTTACAGAAAAGAAAACAATTCGGACCGAACCAATAATTTTCCTTACCTACTAGGTTTGTTCCGGTGGAATTCCGCTATTGCCTCCGGACAGTCCTGCAAAGATAACTCTTGTACAAGAAACATGAGAATGGTTCTCTGCTGAAGATGAGCAAAAAGAAACGGCGTTGGCCAACACTTTCAGGAGAGCTTGAAAGCGCATCGCTTTTTCGGAAAATATATACGCGAGTTCAGATGCGATTGGACGACGCAAAACGCTAATGCTCACCAGCTTCATATGAACTAATATCACAACATTTAATAGCGACTAGCTGAGTCAGAAAACTTTTAACAAGTAATAAACGACGGCAGAAAGTTTGTCCACTTACGCAGTCACGCTCGTCTTCCCACGTAGCTTCTTCATAAGGGTAGCCTTCCCATTTGATCAAATACTCGCGATGTCCACCTTTCCTTCTGGTGGACAAAATCTTCTCCACTACATATGACTCATTGGCTAGAATTTGATTAAAATTATTGGCTTTCGCTGTCCAGAGAACGATATTATTACTGTCTCTTATTATGAGGTTTTTTTTATATGCAGATGTCTTTATTCATTCAGCGGTCGTTTCCTAAAACTACTCAACTAACAGAAACTCTCAAGTCGCCATGGCCCTCGAAAAGGATGAAAACTGCTGTATGCATCTTGAAGAGTTGCTCAAATCTGACTGCTGAATCTGGCAGATGATTTTTCCAAGATGAGTCATGAAATTTGTCCCGTATTATCTCGTACGAGTGCAATGTGCAGAACAGGTACATCCCTAGGAGTGAGCAAGTTGGAAAGCAGTGAGCATTTTCAGCACACGGACTCGAGAGTGTAAGGAGGTGGTGATGTCCGTTCCTCCAAGTGGTGCCACTGGGAACTGCTCACTTTTGTGAGCTGAGCTGACCACGGACATTCGAATGCAGGCGACAGGCCCCCGTGACAGGCCGGCCTACGAACACCCACGTCACATCACAAATGTCAATGTCGCTACAAGTATCTCGAGATAATGCTACGGCGTCCGCGGGAGCCGACGCGCACTCGCAAAGCCCGGCGAGTGTGAAAAGTATGCGAGGGTCTCCGGTGCAAGGACGGCATCGGGGGGCAACTAGGCTAGTCCAAAAGTCCCGCAACGTATGGAAGACTCGCGTTGCGACGTTAAAATGTTGGCACGTTAACGGGACAGTAATAACTTCTAGGCCGAAGAATTATTTCTGTGCCTGTGCGGGCAATCGAGGTGGTCTCTGCGTGGATGCGACGCGCATTGTACGTGTCGTATAACTTCGTATAATGTATGCTATACGAAGTTATTAAGAATATGCAGACTCGCATAATCTCGCCATAGTAAACACGAAATTTCGAAAACGTGACTCACATCTTATCACATTCTATAGCGGTAAAACCAGAACACAAATCGATTTCGTCCGTTTGTTAGGCACCGTGATCAAGGGCTCGTAACGGACGCAAAAGTAGTACCTTATGAAACGGTCGTCACACAACACCGACCACTGATTTGTACGCTGAAAATCGCCCCGCCGAAACCGAAACTAGCCGAAAGGTGTGGGCCAGCGAGAATCAAGTGGTGGCGACTGAAGGAGAAAGAAGCGGCCGTCGTTTCCCGCATTCGATTACCAGCGGTAACGACTGTCGACGAAACTTGGAAAGGTGCTGCCGAAGCGATACCCAGGTTGCGCGATCCGAGCTCGGCATGACGAAGCCTGGACGGAGAAAGGTTGATAAGCAAACATGGCTGTGGACGGATCAAGTTAGAGAGAAAGTAAGAGAGAAGAAAAAGCGCTACCACGCTTTTCTTTCGGAGAAGACAGCCGGTTGCTGGCAGCGCTATCAGATAGCGAAGAAAGAGGCAAAGAAGGCCGTTGCTTCTGCGAAAGCAGCTCATTTTGCCGATCTCAATGAGAAACTCGAGTCGCGCGATGGTGAACGGTACGTTTACCGACTCGCAAAGACCCGCTATCGCCAGACCGAGGATATAGAAAAGTTCTTCGGCATAAATGACGAGAATGGTCACCTTCTGACGGACCGCAAGAAAGCATTGAAGCGATGGTGTGAATACTTCGAGAACATCTCAACAGTCGAATTTGCTCATCCCGCCATCCCTTGTGCTCCGCCAGTACACGGCCCCGTTCAGAAGATAACCATGGAGGAGACCATTACGGCTATGAAGAAGATGAAATCAGGCAAAGCAACTGGTCCTGACGACTTAGCGGCGGACTTGTGGAAATCAAAGTGCTGGAATCCTGCAGAATGGTTGACGGAGTTCTTCAACCAGGTCGTTGCAGAAGAAGGTGCCTGAGAGCTGGCAACAGAGCACGACGATTCCAATCTGGAAGAAAAAGGGCAGTCCTGGAGACTGCACTAGCTACCGTCCAATTCGCCTGCTCTCGCACAGCATGAAAATCTTTGAGCGAATTGTAGACAGTCGTATCCGTGACATCGTCGAGCTGACCACCAACCAGTGTGGTTTTGTGCTGGTTGCAGCACCATCGATGCCATACACGCCGCTCGCCTTCTGCTAGAAAAGCATCGCGAAAAACAAAAGCCGATACATCTTGCCTTCCTAGACTTGGAGAAGGCTTTCGATCGCGTTCCGCGTGACGTTATATGGTATGCTTTACGACAGCATGGCGTTCCCGAAGAGCTTATTGAATGGGTGCGCATCCTGTACTCCCACAAAGAGTCG